GCTACAGACTGCTGAATAGTAGGGCAAAAGCAGCATTAAGCTTGATGCCTCTCCCTTTCCCCCAGTACTACAATGCTTAGCACCACAGTATGGAGCTCTGAACAATCACCTCTTCCCCACCACCACTGTTTAAGAGGGTCTCCAATCAAGGCCTTTACAAGAGGCCTACTTTCATAATGCTGGAACAAGCATGAGCACAATGAGATCAGACTTCTGACCTGTCTGGGGATGCTAGAACTCCAATGGTAAAACAGAAGCATTTTATCTGTGACAGTCACAAGAGTGTGGACACAAACTGTACCTGAAGAAATCCTTCTCCTACATAACAAACGTATGCGAGTCTGACATTGACCATAGGAAGAAACTGAAACCGTGAAGGCAACGAGGTTCAACTCCTATTATTCCACGTGGCAGGGGTACTGTAATCAGGAATGGTTCTCACCCCATACTTCTGCTCCTGAAGCGATATTAAACTTGCCTCTTGACTAGGTTTAAATATTTCATACAGTTAAAAAAATCAGCTTGTTTTTGATAGCTCTGCAGTGCTGTGAACTGGGTGGACTATGGCACGTGTACACACAGGCCTGGTGATGTGTTGTCTCCCAGGTTTTCCAACACCTTCCCAGTTTTGGTGCATAAAAGCCAGTAATCAGTAGCCCGCACCCTGTGTAGTGTATCCATTTAAGGTCTCAGAGCCATCACCAATCTAACCCCATGTGTCAGTGAGTTAAGTGCCTCACCCATGGTGCCACAGCCTGTGATACAAATGTAGTACTATACTAGGAGAGCTCTTTGACAAGACACTGCAGCCTTGCACCAGGCAGAGGGATTTCTCAACTTCTGGAGGGTATATATACACAAAGAGGACATTCCTTTCTTTTCAGTTATCAATGCAACAGTAGCAAGAAAGATGGCATTTGTCCTCTCCCATGGAAGCAACCTTCACAGGAGGAAATCCACTCTGCTGCACAGATCCTATCAAAATAGGTGGGGTGGAGTTAGGAGGAATTTGTTACACCTGCAATATATTAGAAATCTGGACCTATAAAAGGCAGAATTGAGCTGAACCATGAGGACTAGTAACTGGAACCAGTAGCATCATGTTGGGGGAATGATGCAATACATACCTGTGAACTAAGCACAGGACTAAGTGTCAAAAAACTCATGAACAGAAATCTCATTGTTTTCATTAGCCACACTCAGCAGTTTAGAGCTGACCCCGGCCCTCTTTTCCACCTATAAAATGGAATTTAAGGTATCTGCCACCTTCATAAAGGCAGCAGCAATGTTTGTATCTATATAACGTTGCTGTTAGTTAAGTGCTCGTGAGGGTTATTTTAAGGACAAGCCAAAATGTTATCTTAGAATGCTGCTTTAAATGAAGGAGGCGATGCAAAAACATCACCACTAGCTTCAATTTTAATACAATGATGCCAGGAAATTGTGCTCATCTTGCTGATGCAACATGGAAAGTCTCGAGCTGTAATACTCGGAGGATTAAGTAGACAAGAGGATTTTTTTTAAAATCACAGGCACTAGGATACCGCAATAGGAAGTTCAGGCTGCACTTCCTTCATGTAGGAATTGATGAATCCTGTCAACAGGAAAAAAAAAACGTTGGACAGAGGTCTGCTCGTAGTTCCTACATTCCTGATGGGCTTTGGGATAAAGCATTTGCTGAGAAAGGGGTATCCTAACTGTACTGAACTGTACCACTACTGAATGATTCAGAGCAGAAACCTGCTTCTCCGTTCTGTCCCACTGGCAGTAGTCACGGACTCCCTATGGAGGGAGGGATGTCTTAGGAGAAGGATTCACAATATTAACTCTGCCATTGAGGCTAATGAGAATTTAAACATTTCCCGTTACATTATCAGTACCTGCTTTTCATTTGTTGCCCAGCTGTGAATGGTAACAGGCTGCCAAAAACAATTTAGCAAAACTGGTGGAGTTAACGCTATCAAGTAAGCATCTAGGTTACTAATTAGAGGTTTCTTGGGCACCAGGGTTCAGAAACCAGCTGTGCCAAATTCATATTGAGATGCATCCTTCTACTCCATTCCAAACTTACATCCCCTGAAAAATTTTATTTTGGCTCCCTTGCTGACATGCAACCTACCGTGGTAGTGTTAAAGGAGGGAAACCAGGTGATTTTAGTTTTAGTGCATCTTTCATTTTGGATTATAGGCCTCCAGTTGTGTTTTATACCAACCAGATACATTATATTCCAGCAAGATGGGAAAATATTTACAACTGAATCTTTGCATGCAGAGTGGAGCTTTTTGCACTTTTTGCAGGGGCCATTGTCCAACATGTCTAGGAAAAAGGAGGGGATGGATAATCCCAGGTAATCAAACTCTTTGTGATGTCCGATTAGAAATTCAAGCGCTAAAGGAGTGCACTGGTTCTCTGAATAGTCCTGCAGTTCTGTTACTTTCATCCTGCTTTTACTTTACTCGAGACATGCCATATTCACCTAGGCTGGAAACATGCACAGTAAGAACAGTCTTACATCTGGGCTACAAAATGCTCTGCAAGCCTATAGTGCCCCAGTCCTCCCCAGCACCTTAGCTGCCAGGTCTCTGGTGCCGTGAGTTTGCTTTGTAAGAAATTGCCCATTTGTGAGTTACCTTGGCAGTTAGTTTTAGGTCAGGACCTCAGAACTGTAGCATCCCTAGAAATGCAGCTCCCACAATTTCACAGGTGTGTTCAGAATTGTTCGAAATCTAAAGCTTTCTTTGCCAACTGACTCCAGGGCCCCGACTGCCAGTGCCACAGCAGACTGCACCCAGCCCAGGGTCTTCCTCTGGGAAGTTTACACTTTGCCTCTGCTTGTTGTACTTGTCCATAACAGGTGGGTATGTGGGAGGGTTGTGCTGGGTCGAATTAAGAGCATTGTATTACCAACTAAATACTTCCCCACTCTAGGCCCTGACTAAGACAAAGTGCCCAAGAAGAAGTGAATATGTCTATTGACCGATTGTAAAGGTGAGAGAGGATCTCCAAAGCCCATTGTCACTGCTGCCATCTGAAAGACAGTAAAGACAGAGTTCAGTCTGTTGGAGCTGAGCATACACTATGGCTGTTTGTAAAAACTCAAGCAGAGCGGCGGCACAGGGACCCTGCGAGAGAGGCCTCTCCTTCCTTGCCCCTCACTGCCTGGTCCCAAGGACTGTCCAGCGCTGGGACCCTGCAGATTCCAGTCCCACCAGGTCAGGGTGGAGTTGTGCTGCTGCCACTGCCTCAGGAAGCAGGGTCTTCTCCCAGGGGGGACTCAAGGCAATAGTAACCTCTGTAACCACTGTCGTTGATTCACCCCCAGCATTTAAAAAGGAGCCCCTCAACTAGAACAGCCACTCAGAAACACGCACAGCCCTGAAAGGCCAGAGCTGCCTAATGTGGCAAGCACATCCACACTGACACTTCATTGAAAAAATACCCAACACCCCAAAACCATTATTTTGGGCTTCTTAACTTTGAGTTAAGGCAGTATTGTGTTCAAAGGGAGGAAGGAAGATTTAAATAGTAGTTTAAGGATTCTCCCAGGACACAGGCATTCCAGCATTAGCAGGAATAGCCAACCGAACTTCTTGGTGAAATTCATGGAGTACAGGGGAGAAGGGGGAAGGCAACGGGGATAACACTGTCAGTCATGCAAGAGACAGGCACCCACTCCTTAAGGGGAAAAGATGGTGAAAGGATACTGTTCCCAGTAACCCTAGACACCACGTAGGCTGAATGTGGAAGCCACAGTAGTTTTTTTGGCTTCTGGCTTTTCAAGAAGCATTTGGCCAACCAACAGGAAGGAGATAAAACTTCCCTCCAACAGGAGAGAAATTCTTAGGAAAATTTTCTCTTTAAATGTGTGAAATTTGGGGGCAATTTACATGAGTCAGAAAAGGGGATTTCTTTAGAGGGCTGAAGACAGCATACTTCAATTTCCCTGTGGAAAGAGAAGTGCAAGTACCTGGCTCCGGGCAGACCTCAGGGCTGTGCTCTGGTTCTAAGTGCAAAAAGAACTCCACCTTGTGGGGGAGAGTAAGAGCAAAAGGAGCATCTCAAGAGAGTCTCTCACCTGCAAGTTGGTGAGCTGCTGTTGCTGGTGGGCGATGGTTTGCTTCACCAGCACACTCTTGATACTCTGCTCCATTGCATACTTCTTTGCCTAGAAGGAAACACAGACTCTGTAGTCACAGGACAATACCACAAAATAGGGAATGACATTTGACTTTATACCACAGTTCCCCAGAACCACACAACTGGCTGCCAATGGTGCTTTCCGGTGCTCCAGCCCTAAGCGCTAAGGCACTGTACATTAGCCAACGGCCAACAGCTTACTAACGTCTTGCTCTGAATCTTGGAGTCGCGAGCCCTGAAATATAGCATAATGCTTGAACAGAGGACTGGATGGATTCAAGTCTGCAGCAGGCGCAATGTTAGGGAAGCAGCATGCACTACACACTTAGCATTTCCCCTCTTCCTCCCTCTGCCCCTTAGATCCCACCATAGCACCTTACCTGCTGGGATGAGGGCAGGACAGATAGCCTCCTTCAAGTCCTTTCCACTCAGAGAACATCTGGACAAAGAAGTTCTACAAAAGGGAAGGGGGCTCCTAATCCCCATGCCCAGTCTCTGGACTGGGCACTCCCCCTCCCCTTCCTTATCACATCTGGCCTATTCTAACTTGGAGGACCCACTTCTTTTGCTCACTAAAATGCTCCAGCTCTCCTCCTCCAGTTCCTGGCCTGTGGACACAAGGCTGATTTGTCTTTTTCATTCAGCCTCTAAAATTTGACAAAGCCTGATCTTCACACCCAATGGTGTTGAAATGGAGGCTCTTTGTCAAGGGAAACCCACATATGTGCCTACTCCCAGGGGAGGGGACAGACACATTCAGCCAACCCCTCAGGCACCTGCTTTCCATGGCTGTACGTGTTTGGGAGGTGCCAGGGAACGGCAGACTCTAAATCGTGGATTTGAGACGTGTGCTTCGGAAACCTGGAAACGGACAAGGGGATTTACATCTGTCAGCTATGGAGCAGCCAGAGGAAACGAGGCCGTTTTGCACTGTGAGCCAAACAACACACACACAAGCAGCTTCAGCATTATGGGAACATTCACACGAAGCCTACCCAGAGCAATACTGTACTTGCCTCACCAGAGTACAGAAGACACCTAGCCCACAGCTCCCACATTCCCTGGTTTTGTTCTCTTCCCCTCTTTTCCCAACTCTGCTCTCCTCTCAGTAAGCCAGGCACCGCTCACTCTCATCAGGAAAGCGAGCCAGAAGTCAGTAGTAACCTCCCCACAGCTGTATAAAACAGGACCAACAACCAGAAATCAGAGCTGGACTGAATTTTTATCTAGATTAAAACAGGTTGGCTCAAAGGGGTTGAAAATACTTGCTGCATGCTAAGGGGTCGCTTTACAATACGAAAAGGGGCACGGGGGAAAAGGTCAAGATGTTTTGCAGTGTGTTCTTGTGTTGGTAGAGCAAAAGATCAGCTGGAGCATATTAGAAACCTAGTCCTTGTGGAGTATATGCTGCTTCTAACAATAACTTTGCAGCAGTCGCATATTGTCTCAGAATCACAATGTGATCTCAAAGTATTTTCTACTTTGATTTTGACTTAACGCCCCACCCAAAACACCCAACAAATTCCCTATCATGTCCCCAAAAAGCAACTACAAGCTCCTAACTATAATAAACATTTGGGCACAAATTTAAAAGAGTGAATCTACACACAGCATGGCCATTATCCCATACATATTCTTGGTGGATGAGTTTCCTTTTACAAGAATAATAATAGAAACTAGTGCTTTTTAAAAAAAAAAAGTAGTAGTAGTAAATACACATCAAGTTTACTCACTTTCTGGAGAGCTTCCTGCTGTTCAGGTGTGAGGGGAGGAAGCCCCAGTTTAGCTGCTGTGCTTTGTCCATTTTCCATCTTTATGGACTCCGTACCCTGAGAAAGTAAAAAAATACTTATAAAAAACTGTTCTCACAAAAGCTTCCAGTTTCCTTATTCCCAGAAACCCAGCGCACTTAATGTTAGGATGTCAAAGTTTTCAAAAAAAGTCTCCCCAAACCTACTAGTAATTCATGAAAACCTGTTCTTTAACATTCTAGCCACTTCCCCTGGGGACGCTATACCATCAATTGTACAAATTGATGTACATGTTGAATAGCTGGCCTAAGAAGTTCCCTAATCTTCCTCTTTTCAGTGAAAAGAAATAATTCCCAGTTTTCACTCATATCATCTCCATCATACCTCTCAACAGTTAAATTCTCTATTGAATGTCCCTATTTCCTCCTTCCATCTCCTCCTATTATCAGTTTGTTTTTCTTGGTTTTTCAAGTTCTTTTTAAAATCTTCTCTGAGCTTTATAAACTTCACATACTGATCTAAGTACTAGCTCACAAAGAAGCACTTTTCCTCATACTTGATTTGATGCATATTACCTGCACATGCAAATTCCCACTCCCAGCATCACAATAGGCATAGAAAGAAGCTTCTGGGCCATTGAATCAACTCTTCGTTATTTCACAGAAATGTGTGTACCTAACAAACATTGGTCCTCTTTGTGCTTTGGGTATTCTACTGACCTCTTCATTTCATGCTCATGTTTTTCCCCTGAAGTCCCTTCCTGTGATATAATTGGTCAATTCTTCCTACCACGTTAAGTAACAGTAGGTTTCTGAGGTACACATATCAAACTGGTTTTGGTGAAAGCAACTCAGCAGCTTATGTCTTTCTGGTAAGCATCTGCCAACTTCTATCCTCAGGATAGTATTCTTAGGCATCCCAAAAATGCCATCACATAATTGCCAGCCAAAATGGGGTTCATCTTTAAAAAACTATTAACGGATGTCTCAGTTCTCCAGTAATTGTGTAAGCACTCTGTAACAAGAATGCTACAGGAAAAACAAGGAACAGACCCATCCAGATGGCAAAATGAAAACAATTCTCCTGGCTTTGCAACAACAAAGCTGTCACTTAGGAAAGGTATAATACAAAAGTAATTGGTAGTTTAGTGCAAGGAACAGCTAGTACGCCCATTAGTTTGATTCCCAGTCACTGGGAACGAAACACTTGCTTATGGCACTCACAATACTGCCTAACAACTTAGAAGTTTATTGCAGGCAGAAGTGTTTCTGAAAGATCACTCACCACCTCCACCGGAGAAAATTTTAACAGATCTTTCTAATATGAAAATAAGTAATATACTCTCCAAAATGGAGACTGGCAAAAAACTACTTCTTGGATACATCTTAAGCCTCAGAGAGAAAAATGCAGTATTTCAGAAGCAAAAGATTCTGCAGCATGGTTACACAGAAACTGCATTTTTAATTGCATCCTCTTTATCTTGCCACCAGGTGAAGGGCAACACATACTAATAAACAGACAAGCTGCCGCAACTCTCAAGACACAACAGAACTGTCAGATATGCTTAATACTAGCAGAGTGTTTCAGGTAAAAGTACACAGACGTTTCCATGAAGAGAGCCACATGCTGTACATCTCCTCACAAGAGCATAAGCCCAATTCCTGCTTTATGTCTACTGCAGTAACATTCAGTAGAGAAGAGATCAGTCATGCATTTCCTCGAGAATCAAAATCTTGCTGATGGCTCCATTTCTCTCTTACGATATTTTCATATTTGCTCTATATATTGATACATAGAACGTTTGGCTTGTGAGAGGGAAGAAAAGAGTGAAATATAGTTAGAAGATAATTTAACCAGATGAATTCTTTCCATAATAAACACAGATACCACCTAAATATAAATGGAGCTCAAGTCCGTTCACATGGTGGTCTCAATTTAGGGTAATCATTTAGATGTAAAATAAATAAATGTTATAACATAAATTGCCACATTCAATAAGTAAAAGGCAGCACAAAAGACACAGAAGCAGAAACTTCTTACATAGTCTTAGAATATATGTTGGGGGCACAGGCCCAAGAAAACAACCCTTGAGTCCTCCCACTACAAAGGGGCGGGATGCAGGGCACAACAGTCTCCAAATTCAAGGCCTCCTAAACAGTCTACTTTATCTACAGTAATTACAAGATAGATCTGTAAAAGCAGAAGCTTAAATGTGACAACCCTTAAATACTAAGAACATTAAGTACCATGAAGGCTGCAACCCCCAGCTGTATTTGTTGGCCCATTTGCTCCTGTTGCTCATATATCGGATGCACGCTTGTGAGATTGTAGAGCTCTATTGCTCATATAGTGGATGCACAATCATGAGATTGTAGAGCTCTTTACTGTGATACTCCTCACTGGATGGAGTCACCTGACACTCCTTTGACACATTACACAGGGGTGCATCTACTTGCCCCTAGAGAAGGGCTGCCATGAATCTTTTTCTCCGACTGATCTGATGTAAACTTGATGCTAAACGCTGCTTAGTCAGCTCACTAATCAATTCTTCTATTTTAAGCTCTGCATATAAAGTGAGGTCATATTCCTTCTAAGCAGATAATCCTTAATTATTGCATGCGGGAAATGGCTGTTTTACAGCCTATCACAGTGCACATATAATCAGCCCACCCCACCCCACATACGTTACTTGATATGTTCTGACATATTAAATGTAACACTTGCCTACGTTGTCCAGTCATTCTTTATTTTGAGATCTCGTGACAACTCATTTACCTAAACGGTAGTGACTAAAGTACCCTATTGGACTACAGATTTCTGGGGAAGAAGTGATCATGCTTTCCAAATAGATTTAGGGTAGAATCTTATCCATTTGTGAAGATGCAGAGTAGGATTGTTCCGAGTTTGAATCCCATGGACAGACTGCACCCTGGGGGAACTTCACCCTTCCCACTATTTTAATTGGCATGAAAGCACAGTATAAACTGACAGGAAATCAAAAGTTTTTCATAGGCTCAGTGAGACCTCTGGGCGCGTTTCTGATGATCTTGGCCAAGCCAAGCGAGAGTAGGACTGCAACAGAGGAAGAAGCCAGAGTATCACTACAGTAAGGTCAGCAAGTTTGCTGGAATCAATTTCACAACCTTACTGCCTTCTCGGTTTGAAGTAGCAGGATATGGACTTTTTTTTTGCTTGTGTAAGTTCTGTCTATATCATCCATCAAAAGTAGAACTCATTTCCTCTCTCAAACCAGTGTTCACAGTCAACCACTTAAGATACCAGAAGGGATAAATATTAAGTAATATATTTGTAGTAGGCTCAATAGAATTTGCCATTGTGTCCATGAACATTATTGGTATCAGTATAAGAATTATCATGGGAAAAATTTAAGTTAATAGCAGAACACAAGAATTTAAGTACATCCCTTACTGCAAAGTTTCTGCCGGATTAGCTCATTTGTCTCCATTTACCACTGACCGCAATCTGCATACAGGTTACACTGCTTCCTTGTTCTCTGGTCAGGCTTTTAAGGGCAAGGATTAGGAGCTCACCTACCTTGAAAGCAAAGAATGCTGTAAGATGAGCTCACTGATGTTCAGAAATGTCACGTTCTAAATCATTTTTACTCTCTTATTTTACAAGAGCAAATGAGACTTTTGGTCTTGTGCATTCAAAGTCTCAAGTTCACTGAAAGGGATTTGTGAGCATTTTCTAGAATCAGCGAACATTGAGCAGATGCCCAATAAATCCTTCTAACATAAAAACCTATTGTACAAGTATCTGAATATAGTGTTCTAGAGTTGCAAATACTTCACTGCTCTCTTCAAGATGAAATTCATAGCTACATTAAAAAACATGCATAGACACACAGGGAAAAAATAAAACAAAAGAAAGCGGATACATTAACAAGAACAGAGGTAGTTGGGACCACTTCATGCCTGCAAATTGGAGAACTCAAGTGCACACTACCGATCAAAAGATACTTCTGCATAGCCCACATGCAAATCAAAACCAAGAAATATCAACAAAGCAACGCTGCCACAATGAGCTGTGTGGTCAGTAACGTCAAAGACAGGAGAGCCGCACCATTGCCATCATTGTTACATCATCATTAATTTTGACTGTCGAAAGTTTTTTTATTTTTTTATTTTTTAAACCATACTAGTTCTTAACCAACTGGCTACAAAATTTTTCTGACCAACTCTCTGCCTCCCCTTCCCATTTGTTTCCATCTTACATATATGCTATTGTACAGGCAGCTCCAGAAACATCTGTAGTTTTCTATTGATTATTTAAAAAAAACAAACAAACAAATCAGGTTTGTCTATTGCTGTTTCTATTTCCCCTCAACTTTTTAAAAATTAATTATCACAGTTTAGGAGCTATGAGACTTCGGACCAGAGAAATGCAGTGGAAAGGATATCAAGTTTAACCATTCACAATAAAGAAGCCACTTCAGTGACCATAAGTTGATATGATTTGTAGAAGTAACAGAGAATATTGCCTATCTATATTCAATGCAATTTAGAAGAAGTACAAGCTCACGATATGGCATAGCTTCAGAATATCTGAACATCTGATTTCCAGCATAGAAGGAAGAATCAAAACTAAGGATGATGAAGTGATCCAGAAGTCAGAGCCAAGAACCTAGACCCAGACACGACTGAACCTGGTTCCAAGCTCTGTGCTATCCCACAGCCCTCTACAGAGGGACCAACAAATACATGCTTTTCTTGATCAACAGTACAGCTATATTAAAAACTTATCATCAACTACCCTTCAACAGTGAGAGTTTCTTCAAGGAAGACCACTGCCCTCTCTGTTACTCCAGTCTATCTAAAAAGCAGAGAACAGATTTGGTGTCAAATAATCCCAATCTCTATCATCACTCAGAGTAAACTGAGACCACTGCTTCTCTCTTTTCTAACACATTAGGACTATCAAGAAAAGGTTCACCATGCCTTACAATTAATTCAAGTCTGCTAAGCAGCAATATAACAGTAACTGTTGAAAAGCAGTTGGCGTTTTATACTAACCCTGGCCACCTTGAGAACTGCCTTATTTTAACATACTGAAACAGGAAGGAATAAGAAAAACAGGAGGAGAGAAGAAAATAGAAGTGAGAGAAGGTGAGCTTCTTTTTAAAAGGGAAATAAATAGAAACTGGATACCTTTTGCTATGAGCACTGCTTCTGAGCGTTGCTTGGCCCTTTAAGGTGGTTTGAACTCCCAAGAGTTCAGGCACATTCGTTGGAAATTTATTACATGGATGAGAATTTCTCTAAAGTATAAACACACACAAGAGAAGAGAAAAATACAGAGTCTTGTTTATTTTAGAATCATGACCAGCAAACAACACAAAGATTAAATAAGACAGAGGGGAAAAAGCATTGATGATATTGTTTAAGTCATTAACAAACAAGAAGCTTCTCTTAAAAAGTACTTGGCTAATACAGAATAGAGCAAGGATTAAACTGAGTGTATCACCTGCATCAGTGCTTGGGAACCTATATTCATCTGAACATTTTCATATTAGAAAACTTCGCATCAGTAGTGAAGCTGAAAGAAGCACCACCTGAGTGCCAGTTCAAAGGCAGTGTTTTTAGTCTCATGTTAGGCTTTTTTCCCCGAAGAAATTGTACTTCATGCATATATATATATAAATACATTTAAGAATCTGGCCCCTATTTATTATCTAAGTAGTTGAGGATCCAGCTGTAATCTCCATAACTTTGTAAATCGTTCTGTGAACGCTGATGCTGGGTTATTCCTGAATTACCTTAGCAGCTACTCCTTTTCACCCTTCTCAGACCACTTTTTTCAGATGGGAAAGAATGGCAGTTAGTAAACTATTTCTTCTGTTACTGTAAGCATGTGCAACTAAATACTGCCAAAATCTAGAGCACAGGACATGTCCAAGTTTTTTCCATCAATCTTGTCAGATGTGTTCTAGAGAGAACGGAGGCTCTGGGCAGGTATTTCAGCCTTTCAAATGTGTCATCTTTCTTGCATCCCATGACTGAACTGCTTAAATGGCCACCTATCTGAAGAAATAAAACTCTTAAATGAACAAGGAAATTCTATGACAAATTTCATTAATGCTGTCCAGTAGCATACCTCATTTCTTCCACAATACCAAATACTAAAAAAAGAAATTAAAAAATAAAAAACTACACTTCTGAAAACATGAACATTCTTAAAAATACACGCACACAAGTGACCTATGTACCCCTGAAACAACTCCTTGCAAAGCCTTCCCGCTGCATTTGATAGAACTCCTCCCAGTTGGATCAGCACTGAGAAACAAAACAAGTCTTCTAGATGTTAACATTTCTACGAGCAATACGCTCTGCATTGTCATTTATCTACCATGGAACCCAGAAATCACAGGCATCTCACTTAATTGCTGACTCTCCTCAAAGGAGGAAAACTGCTGCTTGTTCCTGACAACCCACAACACAGTGCTAAAATAAATCAAGACACACAAGGTCTTCTTTCTCTTGATTATATAGAGCAAAGTAAGACACAAGGAAACATATTCTTCCCTTCTGAAAGGGATCGCTGCTTTCCCTGACCACCACCTTACCTACTAATTGATAAATCCTTCAACTAATCCTTCCCCATCGAAGGCAGGCATAGACAACAAATAAGTACAGCTGGAGAGCTTGTATATAATTTCAATGACAGTGCTGGATTCCCTTAAATCACAGATTCTTTCCATTACCTGCTCTTAGCAAGAGACAGCTCTCTCATCCTTGTATTTAATACTGCCAGGCTCCAAAATGACTTTTGTCACTCCATGTCTTATGTTGTAGGCATAGAAAAGAGTTTACTCCCAAGAGGAAACTAATGAAATTCAAGGAGGTCACATGCTACATCCTGCACTGGAAAGGACTAACACCCTGCAGTGGTACAGTCCAAAGAGCTGCTCTGTGAAAGGCTGAAGGTTCCTGGTGGTCAGAAGGGTCAGCCTTCCTTGCTACCAGGGTGCACTACTAACAGCATCTTGGGCTGCATCAACAGGCACAGAGCCAGTAGGGAGAGAGAAGTGGTTACTCCTCTCCACTCAGCTCTTGCTAGACTACGTCTAGATATCGTGTCCCTTTCGGATCCTCCACACAAAACACTGACCAACTGGAGGGAGTCCAGTGTAGGGCCACCAAGATGGCTGAAGGGTAGGTGCACTTGTCCTGTCAGGAGAGGCTGAGGGAACTGGACTTGTTTAAATAACGTTCAAGACTTGTATATGCAATATCATAGGTAACTATAATAAGGCTTAGTAAGCAGTAACCAACAACCATTTTCACAAACTGTTCATCCTTTTACCACCACTTAAGAGGTTCTCACCTTAAGTTAAAGCCTCACAATTGATTCAGCACTTGGCACAAGTGAGGGCAGAATGCTCTAGGAGGTGGGGTAAGAAAAATCTGGTGAATATGGATAGCAAGAATCTCCTAAAGCAGACTTCCTGCAGACTGTTCCTCTCTCGCCCACCGAATGAAAATTAACTGTTTGTGGAGCCAACCAAGCAGGCAGACATTTCACACACACATGCTTTTCCCCAAAAGTAGTTTCCAGCTCTGCTTAAAAATTAACTACCTTGATAAGAAGTATTCACTGTAAACTCACCTTAACCTCATTAAAATACAAACAGATTCAGTACAGAGACTGCTTTCCTCAAAGCAGTTAAGAGAGAATCTCATAACTACAACATCAGCGTTCCAGAATTATCTGGACAAATTATCTTTAAGTGAACTTAGTTTTGGCTGAAAAAATTTGCCATCACTGAATTCACAGACAAATAATGTGCATCCCTCCTACAGGAAAGGACCTGTTATTTCACACAGCTGTGATTTCAAGAAGATAACACAAATGACACCAGGCAAGCAATTGCGCATGAGTATATTATGTGGTGGGAAGACAGAGGAGTAACACTGCAGAGGTTTTATCCTTATAAATGGAACTGATGAAATAGAGACACACTGTAAAAGATATATATATATATAAATACAAAAAACTGACAAGACTGTCAAGAGCCTAGAAAGGGTGTAGGAAAGACAAAGAAGTGATGTAAGTGCAACAAAATTCAGGAGATGAAAAAGTTATGTAAATACCAAAATGATAAACACTGCAAGCCATTCTGAGGTACCGTCACTGGGTGTGGGGAGAATACCATGCACTAAAGGACCATTTACAGTGAAAACATATGAAGGACCAATGTCTAAAGCTGTGACATGCACTAACACTTTCACAGCAGCAATATCAAAATCACTGGCACTGAACGTCTCAGACTATTACACTGGCTTAAAATATAAGTTTCTTTAGCAAGACATTAATGATTTGATCAGTTATACCAAGTGATTCAGTTTCTTACCACTAAGAGGTAACCAGTCGAGTTACTGATAAATTCATCAGAATTGCATAAATTTGTAACTATACTCTTATAAGAGCTTTGTATTATCATCCACTTATACATGCCATCTGTGGTGACATATATAAATAATCCACTACATGTTACAGAGAGATATATTTCTAGTGACAGCAGTATAGAAACTATCAACTATTGCCAAAATGCAAAAGAAAGATTTGTTACAAAAGCAATTTCAGGTCAAAAGGAAAAATAAAATATACGCAGCCTTGAACTAACTTGCACTGGTCCTTACAAGCTTCATGTAAGCATAGAAAATATAATTATCTTCTTAAGCATAGTTATATTTCTCCCATAAACACCATAACTGAATTTTAGAGCTCAAACTCAGATATCTAACTACTTGCTGCAACACTAATTCATTTACAGTTAAAATTAAGAATGGTGAGTTAGTCAAACTTTTACAGTTCAGTGAATTAAATTGTATTTCAGCATCTGGAAGAGAAAGGTTCAATCCTATTTCTTCAATCATTTTCATACTGTTCTTCAGGATACACCTTACCACCACCATTAGACACATACTGTCAGCTTTGTCTCAGCAGCTGAGCAAAGTTTTGCTCTGGTTTCTTCATGAAGAAACACTAGGTCAAACTCTAGACATGCTGCAAGTAGTATCAGCCATTGCAATATAGACAGCAGAGAGCTTCAGTCAAGCTATAAACGTGCAAGGGCCATTTCTACTTTTTGCTTCTGAATAATACTGGGGTTTTAAGGGATAGATCTGCAAGCCTTTCACAACCACCATATCATTCTTACAAATAACTTGCAGAAGCAGACAAGAACCTGGCTTGCTGCTACAATATTATTGTTAGATTATCTGATTAAAGGGTAATCATGATGAACATAAAACTCCCCAAGGATAGGCAAAAGAACACCAGTAAGCACTCCGTAAGGCCACCTCTCCCCAGAACGCCTTGCAAACTTGAAAGGTTATTGTCTGAAAGGATATGGGACTCATGACAGGATGCAGGGGGAAGAGCAGCTGGGCACCGTGCAGAACTTATCAGGGAATGATTTACAGGGATGGTGGGAATCTGCAAGAATTATTACAGGGCGTTCAGGGCAGGATCAAAGGTGGGGAAAAGGAGGGATCAACGTGGATTGCAGAGGAAGCATGGGAGAACAGAGGAGAAAGCAGATAAAAGGGCTGGGTGAGTATAAACAGGGGGTTGGCCAGGACACTTGTCTGAGTCAGACTGCGGTGCTCAGTGCCTATCTCACAGTCTCATCAAATCCCCTTTCTAATTATCTTCTGCGTGGTATGTACTCTCCACTCTGACTGCATGTGTGAAGCAAACTTCAAGTTGGACTAGCCATTAAGTAGGAGAAGAGGTCGGAGTACCAGCAAGCGTGTTGCACCCACTGGAGTGGGACCACAAACCTCACAGGTCTAGATGCCAGCAACTGGGGGAGACAGGAGGTCTAGGGGCCAGCTTCTGGAAAGGCTGAGCAGCTAATACTAGCTACTGAAGTGACCCAAAGGTTGGGAGTGTATGTGTGCAAGACAAAAAGTCGTCAGACTGCCAGCAACCAAAGTGGGACCACGAACCTCGGGGCTTGTAGATCCACTTGTAAGCAACTGGGGGAGACAGGAGATCTATGGGTCACACCAGTAGCTGGCCCCTAGAGTGCAAGTGTAAGTGTGAATGCATGTGCATATTCATTCCCCCAGAGGACTGTTATACAAATAACAGTATCAGGCCACCGTGCTGTTCATGTTCACATGAGTGCTGTGTGCATGTGTGTGTCAGTAAAGGCATTGCTTTCTGTCTATGTTGACCTGTGTAGCCAGCCTTGTTAATAGCATGTGCACACACTCCAGCATAAATGCTCAGCTTTGCTACTGGC